GGCCTTACGGGCCTGCAGGGGAGGCTCGTGGGCCTGACGGGCCTGTAGGAGCGGCGCGTGAGCCTTACGAGCCTGCAGGGGCGGCGCGCTGGCCTTACGGGCCTGCAGGGGCGGCGTGCTGGCCTAGGGCAGCAGGAGGCAGCGCGAGGGCTGCAGGACGGCGCGCGCAGCGCAGCACGTCACAAGGCAGGGCAGGCAAGCAGGTGTAGGACAACACGTGGGGTAGCGCGGTAACCGCAACGGTAGGTGGGCCCGAAAATAAAGGACGGTCCTACGGACCTAGTGTTCTGAAACCATGTCAGAATCTAGTAGCAGGAATGGATGAACTATGAAAACGGTTGGGTACAAGTATGAAACCCTAAAAGGGGCTGTACCACATATTGGCTACCCCACTACAGCCTAAACACATATAGCATACATATAATTTGACACGACAGTGGTGTACAAGGCGTAATCTTGCCATAATCCGAAGTGCCAATGGGCTTGCGTGCTTATGCGCACTTGTGATTATCTATTCTAGAAGAGCACGTTCCCGAAGGTTCGGACTATCTGTTGTTTCTATGTATTTCTGAGTATAAATACGCCTTATACTCGACTTTAGTGCAACATTCTCGAGTGGAAATTCGATCCTGTGACACTTGCCTTGCCAACTTGTTTGTACTATTGTTGTGAACTTTTCTTAGTGGAACTCTTGCCAAATCCCCTGTGAACTAGCAAGCTGTGTGTGCACTAGGAAAACGACTAAGGAACGCAGGGATCACTCTTGCCCCGTGCCTAGCCCGTAGCCTAGCTCCCGTTGATAGATACCGCACATCGAGTACCGGACACCAAACAAACAGACAGTGAAGAACAAATACCCCATACCACGCATGGATGATCTTCTAGACCAACTGCGTGGTGCAACGTTTCGAAGTATGACCTACGGTCGGGTGACTGGCAGATCAAATTGGCGGACAATTTTATGTACAAGATGGCGTTCCATACTAGGTATGGCTCTTACGAATACTTAGTGATGCCATTCGGACTATGCAACGCACCGGAGACATTCGAGGCGGAGATGAATCACATGCTACGGCCCCTACTAGACGAGTGCATAGGAGTGTACCTTGATGACATTCTCATCTACTCCAAGAACATGAAGGAGCACGTGGAGCATCTGCGGAAAAGTTTCGAGATCCTGCGGAAAATATGTTGTACGTGAAGCTGTCAAAGAGCAACTTCGCCCTGAAAAGGGTGTAGTTTATGGGGCACAAGGTGAGTGCGGAGGGCGTACATGTGGACCCGCGGAAGATCGAAGCCGTCAAACAGTGGAAAGGAACAATAGTTTTGTGCCACATAAGATAGCAGAGCCACTGACGAACTTACTGAAGAAGGATACGTCCTATAAATGGAATACTCCTCAACAGCAAGCCATGGAGCAGATACAGTCAGCATTGACTGCTGCCCCAGTACTCATCCTACCGCATCTCGACAGAGACTACGTGGTGGAAGCAGACGCTACTGACCAGGCAGTCGGAGAAGTACTGATGCAGGATCACGGATGCGGTTTGCAGCCCATCGCCTACCATAGCAGGAAGCTACACGGAGCAAAAATAAACTACCCCATTTATGACAAGGAAGCCTTAGCGATAGTCATAGCCTTCAAGGCATGGAGGTGTTACCTAGAGGGAGCCAAGACTACAGTTTACACAGACCACTACAGTCTCAAATCACTACAGTCTCAAATACCTGAATTCGCAGCATATGCTCTCATGACGACAGGTGCGGTGGGTGGACTTCCTGGAAACTCACTTCCACTACGACATCATCTACAAGCCTGGGCTACACAATAAGGAAGACGCGTTGAGCCGTCGCGGACATGTAGCACAGATCGCTACAGCACAGAAGCAGAAGTTGTTATAGTGGGAGAAAGACTTAGCTGTAAGGAAGAGTTCACGGAAGATTTGGGTACCGAGCTATGCCCCGCTCCGACAGATATTACTGGAGGAGTTTCACAACGTAGCATACACGGGACATTGCGGGAGCATCAAAACGTTAGTGGGAATAGCTAAGTATTACTACTTGCCTCGGATGGCAGCAGACGTGCAGCAGTTCGTCAACTCATGCGACACGTGCCAGCGGATGAAGAGTAGCAAGCAAAAAAAAGCAGGGTTACTTCAGCCTCTACCCGTACCGGAGCAGCCATGGCAAGTTTTCAGCCTAGACTTCATCACTAGGCTTCCTTCGACCTCACAAAAACATGATGCTATACTTGTGGTGATCAATAAGTTCTCTAAAATGGGACACTTCATCCAAACCAACGCCACGGCTACTACTAAAGCAACTGCTCACCTCTTCGTCGACCGCATTATCCACGATATCCCCGCTACCCTTATCTCAGACAGAGACCCAAAATTCACTAGTACGTTCTGGAGGGAACCCATGGAATTGTTGTGGAGAAAGCTTGCGATGTCTTCAGTACCACCCCAAGAATGGCGGACAGACTTAGCGACTCAATCAGATGGTTGAATAGTTACTGCGTACAACTTGCAAAGACGACATTAGCCACTGGGATCTACAGTTACCAATGCTTGAGTTCGCATACAACAAAGCTTCACATGCCGACACAGGGAAATCATCTTTCTTCCTGTGCTATGGACGGGAACCACTTACACCACATCAGCCAAGCGTACCGGCATACGTCCAGGCTGCACACGACTTTGTCACCACCATACAGCAGCTATGGGAGACGGCTCAGCGACAAGATCACTCGGTAGCAGTCAGAGATCAGGTGCTACTTGACACACGTAACTTGGACTTGTCTCACTTACCCTCGAAGCTCCAACATCACTTTTGTGGTCCCTTTCGCGTTGAGGCGATGGTGACACCAGTTACACTCCGCTTGCGCTTCCCTACTACTTGGAAGCTTGACTACGTTTACCATATTCAGCTGCTAAAGCCCTACAAGGACCCCAACCAATAGTTCACTGGATGCCAACTACCGCCACCACCACCTCTTCTCGTATAGGATGAACCAGAGTACGGGGTGGAACTCGTGCTCGCTTATCAATGCAGACGCGGCAACACACCCGATTTCCTGATACGCTGGAAGGGATACGACCTGTCGGAAGACAGTTGGGTTGTAGAAGCTGATATGGGCAACGCACACCGTGCTCTTGTGGATTATGTTCTGAAGCGGGGTGTTTCTCATGTCACCTAACTTTGAGGGGGGGACATGTGAGAGTACGACGACTTTGCTGGATTCTCCTGGAGATTGGTTTTAAGCAGCTACCGCACGACCCGGACATGTACCTGCATGCAGGTATAAGTATATAGACCACAGTACAAGTAAAGTCAAGACGTGAGCAAGTGAGGCCAAGTAGGCACAAGGCCTAGAACAGTACAGAAATGCTGATGATCACAAGGCTGAAGTGCCTTGGTGAAGATATCAGCAGTGTTGGCCCGAGAGGCCACGTAAGCAAGACGAAGTTGACCAGGCTGCTGCAACTCTCGAGCAAGAAAGTAATGCAGAGCGATGTGCTTCGTCCTGTGCCTCCAGTCTGTGCTCCTGGCACAAGGCAATCATGGCCTTGTTGTCGACGTACAGAACTGGAGGAGAACGAGGCGGCTCGCCCAAGTCAGTCAGCAGGTAGGTGAGCCACCGTAACTCCTATGCAGCCATGGCCCCTGCGTAGATCTCAGCCTTACAACTGGAGCTGAGAACGGAAGACGAGCGGGTAGACCGCCAAGAAACAGAGCCAGAGCCAAGGCTGAAGGTGTAACCCTGTGACGACCACTGCGTAGCCAAGTCGTCAACCCAAGAAGCGTCTGTGTGACCAGTGAGGACAACTCGAGCCCGTCCTCCAAGCACAAGCCCCATGCCCGACGTACTGCACAAGTAGCGCAACACCGTGTTAGCAGCCTCCCAGTGCTCTAGTCGGTGTTTCCCGGGCGCAACATAGCGTGCCAGGATGCTAAGAGGGTAAGCAAGGTCAGGTCTAGTGCAGGTCATCAGGTACATGAGGCAGCCCACAAGCTCTGGATATGGGGCCGCTCGACTCTACGGACTCATCAAAAGGCAGAACTGAGAGCGAGTGACTGGTAGGCAGAGGAGTGGACTGTGGCGAAGAGTACGTGAAGCTGAAGCGCTGAAGGACCTGCTGCACCATGTGTGACTGAGTCAGGGTAATGGTGCGCCGTGCTCTCTCCCGGGTGATCTGCAAGCCAAGATAGCTGCGCAGTTCTTGCACGTGCGTCTCTTCTGTAGCTCCGACTTCACGTGGGCGAGTCCCTCAGTGTCAGCAGTGGCAAAGACCAAGTCGTCAACGTACACGAGAATGTAGAACGGCGGCAGCGAAGTGTCGGTGCGCAGAAACAGCGACGGGTCAGCTGTCGAAGGAGTAAACCCAAGAGCCGCAAGCGTCGTCCTCAATGTGGCGTGCCACTCGCGAGGTGCCTAGCGAAGACCGTAGACTGGACGCCGGAGGCTCCACTGGGTACCTGCAGGAAACGACCCAGTGAAGCCGGGTGGGCGGCGCAGCCAGATCTCCTCGTGCAGGGTGCCCTGTAAGAAAGCTGTGCTCAAGTCGAGAGAGTGAAGCTCGTAGTCACGCTGAGCGGCGACGTGCAGCAGCACCCGAAGAGTGGTCATTTTCGGGGTAGGGGAGAAGGTCTGGAAGAAGTCAACTCCCTGTCGGTGACTGAAGCCTCGTACAACGTAACGCGCCTTGAAGACATGCGGAGAACACGGCAGCCGCTTCACCCTGAAAATCCACATGCCACTGACGATGTTCGCCCCAGGTGGGGGAACCTCGTCGACGTAGGTGCCTGTGGACTTCCAGGATGCCATCTCTGCGTCCATGGCTGACTACCACTGAGAGGAGTAGGGATCCTCTATCGCCTCTGTGTAAGAGCGCGAGGTCGGGATGCCTGGTGCATCCGGGTCGACCTTAGGTGCAATCAGCATGGACACAAAATGAGGTACAGCAGCTGCAAAACACTCAAAGCCCTCCTGCCTGTCCTCAAGGACAGATAGATTCTGACTCAGCAACAAGACTAGCAGCGTAATCGAGACGACAATGAGCAGCAAAGTCGACAAGCTCAGAAACTAAGGCAAACGCATCAGCGGACTCAAACGAAGGTTCAGTGACAACAGTGGCTAGCAGACACGTGACAGTAGGCCTGGCAGCACGAAGTAAGTCAGACTCCAGGTCCGGACCGTCAGCAAGAGAGGACGAAGGGGGAGAAGGCAGAGGGACACGCAGTGGAACAAAGGAAGGACAAGTTGCCATCTGGTGCGTGCCGGGGACTGGAGGAGGACGCTCATGCAGAACACGACGACCAGTGCGAACAGCGCGAACAGGTGACACAGGACGACACGCAGGCCCACGACGCTTAGTAAGACCTCCGGGCTGCTCAGTGTAAGGAGAAGGAGCCGGCAGTGGGGAGGCTGGCTGTAACGGCGGCTGGGACTGGTCAGGCGATGGACACAGGAAGGGAGGAGTAAGGTCAGTAGAGGAAAGAAGTACGGTTCGCGGCCGCACAGCGCCTCCAGAACCAGCACCGACCGCACCAGCACCCCCAGGGCCAGCACCTCCAGCTCCAAGGTCTCCAGCTCCAATGCCTGCAGCAGTACCAGCTCCAGCAGCTCCAGTACCTCCAGCAGCCATTTCCAGCGGCTCCAGCTCCAACTCCCGCAGCACCTCCAGCTCTAGCAGCCCCAGTACCTCCAGCAGCCCCAGTACCTCCAGCAGCCCCAGTACCTCCAGCAGCCCCAGTACCTCCAGCAGCTCGAGCAGCTCCGATAGCACCTCCAGCTCAGCAGCTCCAGCTCCAGCTCCAGAAGCACCTCCAGCTCCAGCAGCTCCAGTGGCAGGCCCCTCAGCTCCAGCAGCACTACTCCGGAGGCTCCAGCGCCGAGCAAACCACTCTCGCAGCTGCAGTGGAGAGAGAGGCTCTCGTCATGACAAGACACCCGGAGGACCGCCATGCTCAGCACGCTCTAGCTCAGCACCCCCACGCTCAGCACCCCCAGGCTCCGCACGCTCAGGCTCATCACCCCCAGGCTCCGCACCCTCAGACTCAGCAACCCCAGGGTAAGCCCCCCCAGGCTCAATACCCCCAGGCTCCGCACGCTCAGGTTCATCACCCTGAGGACCCACACTCGCAGGTTAAGCACCCCCAGACGCAGCACCCCTAGCAGCACCAGAGTCGACAGCTACCTCGACAGGCTCGATAGGGTATACCTGGGACACACCTGAGAGAGCAGGACCCTGAGGGGGGAGGGGGTCTACTGGAGGAGGACTTGGTGTGCGGAAGAGCGGCGGGGGAGGGAGAGGGGCAGTGCGGTAGGGGAAGAGACGGTAAAAGGGAACCGACTCGTCAAACGTCACGTCCTGAGAGGGCAGGACACGGCGCGTGGTGGGGTGGTAAAACTGCCAGCCAGGCGCGTCAGGGGGAAAGCCAAGGAAGACATAGGGAACGGTGCGGGAGGAGAGCTTGTCCACGGAAGTATCGCGGACAAAAGCACGACATCCCCAAACCCGGAACACCGACGCATCGCCAACCTTCCCTGTCCAACGCAGTGTCGGCGAGGTCTCCGGCAAGGAGACACGGTGCCAGAGGCTGAGCTGATGCGCAGCGTAGCGGACCGCAAACGGCCACAGAAAATGGGGGGCGGCCACATGGATCATGGAGGGACGAGTGATCTCCATGACTAAGCCAATGCGGCGCTCAGCAACCTCATGTTGCTGTGGAGAGGCCGGAAGCGTGAACATCTGGCGAATGCCCTCCCCACGACAAAATTCCCGCAAGAGGTCGGAGAAAAACTCACCACCTCTGTCAGAGTGCAGACGCAGGATGGAAAGGTCCGTCTCGAAGCGCTCGCGGTGCTGGAGACGAACATCGCGGATCCAAGGGATAAAAAAATCAAGGACCTCCCCCTTGCGGCGCAATGGGAAGACCGTGGTGTAACGCATGTACTCGTTGACAACCAGCAGAAAGTACCGCTCGTGGCTCTGTCCACGGACGCGGGCTGGGCCCCACACGTCCAGGTGGAGAGTCTGTAGGGGAGCAGTCGTCGGGGGGAACGAGAAGGAGTGAGGAGCGCCGCACTGCCGCCCCTCGACACAGGGAAGGCAGGGAGGGGCAGGCAAGGGTGGGAGGGGAGGCAGAGACCTGGGAAAACCAGAGCCAAGCAAACGGGAGTGCATGCCACGGAGGCGTGCCATGGAGGGGTGACCAAGGCGGTAGTGCCAGAGGAGCGTATGGTGCGACAGGGCGCGACACAAGCAGGGGGTGTTAGAATCTAGCAGCAGGAATGAATGCACTATGGAAGATTTGGGTACAAGTATGAAACCCTAAACGGGGCTGTACCCCATATTGGCTACCCCACTACAGCCTACACACATATAACATGCATATACTTTGACACACCCCCATAGGCAAAGTGGGGGAGAACAAGGGGTCACCAGACCAGTCAAGAGAAGCAAAACAAGCTCAGGGTGGATCACAACGTCACCACACACACTGAGCACAAGCAAAGGGCCACAAGGCCAGTCCACATGCAGAGGTATATATGCAACAACGGCAGGACAGTGATCTCTACCTAGTAGAGCAAGCATGCAGGTATATATATGTAGATCACAGTACAGGCAACGTCTATAGCAAGTGAGAAAACATGAGCACAAGGCCTAACAAAGTACAAAAACGCGGATGATCACCAGACGGAAGTGCTTTGGTGAATATATCAGCAGTGTTGGCCCGAGTGGCCACGTGAGCAAGAAGAAGCTGACCACGCTGAGCACGCCAAGAAACAGAGCGATGTGCTTCGTTCTGTGCTCTAGTCTGTGCTCCTGACACAAGGCAATGGCGGCCTTGTTGTCGACGTACAGCACTGGAGGAGAACGAGGCCGCTCTCCCAAGTCGGTCAGCAGGTAGGTGAGCCAGCGTAGCTCCTGTGCAGCCATGGCTGTGGCGTAGATCTCGGCCTCACAACTGGAGCCGAGGACAGAGGACGAGCGTGAAGACCGCCAAGAAACAGAGCCAGAGCCAAGGCTGAAGGTGTAACCCTGTGACGACCGCTGCGTATCCAAGTCGTCAACCCAAGAAGCGTCCGAGTGCCCAGTGAGGACAACTAGGCTCCGCCCTCCAAGCATGAGCCCCATGCCCGATGTACTGCACAAGTAGCGTAGTACCCTCTTAGCAGCATCCATGTGTACCTTTCGGTGCCGACTAGGAGCCACGTAGCGAGCCAGAAGGCCAAGAGGGTACGCAAGGTCAGGACGAGTGCAAGTCATCAGGTACATGCGGCAGCCCACTAGCTCTGGGTAAGGACCACTCGGCTCTACGGACTCGTCCAAAGGTGGAGCTGAGAGCGAGTGGCCTGTAGCCAGAGGAGTGTGCTGTGGCGAGGACCAGGTGAAGCCGAAGCACTGAAGGACCTGCTGCACCATGTGTGACTGAGTCAGTGTGATGGTGCGGCGTGCTCTGTCCCGGGTGATCTGCAAGCCAAGGTAGCTGCGCAGCTCACCCAGGTCTGTGCACGTGTGTCTCTTCTGCAGCTCAGACTTCACCAGGGCGAGAGCCTTAGTGTCAGCATTGGCAAAGACCAAGTCGTCGACGTACACGGAGATGTAGAACGGCGGCAGCGAAGTGTCGGTGCGCAGAAATAGCGACGGGTCAGCAGTCGACGGAGCAAACCCAAGAGCAGCAAGTGTCGTCCTCAGTGTGTCGTGCCACTCACGTGGCGCTTGGCGGAGACCGTAGACTGGCCGCTGGAGGCTCCACTGGGTACCAAGAGGGAACGACCCAGTAAAGCCAGGAGGGCGGCGAAGCCAGATCTCCTCGTGCAGGCTGCCCTGTAAGAAAGCTGTGCTGAAGTCATGAGAGTGCAGCTCGTAGTCACGCTGAGCGGCAACGTGCAGCAGCACCCGAAGAGTGGTCATCTTCGGGGTGGGGGAGAAGGTTTGGAAGAAGTCGACTCCCTCCCGCTGATTGAAGCCTCGAGCAACGTAACGAGCCTTGAAGACAGGCGGAGAACCTAGCGGCCGCTTCACCCTGAAAATCCACATGCCACTGACGATGTTCGCCCCAGGAGGGGGAACCTCGTCGACGTACGTCCCTGTGGACTTCCAGGATGCCATCTTTGCGTCCATGGCTGTCTGCCACTGAGAGGAGTACTCACCCGCGATCGCCTCAGCGTAAGAGCGCGGGGTCGGGATGTCTGGAGCATCCGGGTCTCCCTCAGGGCCAAGCAGCATGGACACGAGATGAGGCGCAGCAGCTGCAAGACACTCAAGGTCCTCCTGCCTGTCCTCAAGGACGTCCATGCCAAGAGCACACTCACTTCCGACGGACGGAGGACAGACAGACTCAGACTCAGCAACAAGACTAGTGGCGTAGTCTAGACGACAGGCAGCAACAAAGTCAACAAGCTCAGCAACAAAGGCAGACGCAGCAGTAGACTCAAACGACGGGTCAGTGAAAACTGTGGCTAGCAAACGCGTGACAGTAGGGTGAGCAGCACGGGTGCGGTCAGACTCAGGCTCAGGAATGGTAGGCAGAGAAGACGCAGGAGGGGACGGCAGAGGAACACGCTGCAGAGGAGAGGAAGGACGACGGACTACGAGGTGGGTGCCGGTGACAGCCGGCTGACGGGAACGAGGAACACGACAACCGGAGCGACCAGAATGGACAGGCGAGACAGGACGTGACGCAGGCTCACGACGCTCAGTAAGACCCACTGTTTGCTCAGTGTAAGGAGAAGGAGCAGGCAGCGGTGAGCCAGGCTGTAACGGAAGACCAGTAGATGAAGGGAGACTAAGAACCTGGGGGAGCACAGAGTCTGACAGAGGCTGAGATGACGAAAACGGTGGAGCAAAGAACAGGCGTGGCTGTGCAGTGCCTGCAGCACCAGCAGCTCCAGCACCCCCAGCAGCCCTAGCACCTCCAGCAGCTCCAGAAACCTCAGCACCAGCTCCTCCAGGACCAGCTCCACCAGCAGCAGCACCCCTAGAAACGGCACCTCCAGTCCCAGGGTCTCCAGCCTCAGTGTCTCCAGCAGCAGCACCCCCAAACCCAGGGTCTCCAGCAGTAGCACCCTCAGGCTCAGGACCTCCAGCCCCAGCAGCTCCAGTACCTCCTGTACGAGCACCTCCGGGACCAGCACCACTCCCAGCTCCAGCGACGTCAGCAGAAGTACCTCCAGCGGCAGAGCCCCGAGCTCCAGAAGCGCGACCCTGATGGCGACCGTACCAGTCGTGCAGCTGCTGTGAGGTGAGAGGCACACTCGGACGAAGGCGGCTACTCCAAGGAGACCGCACAACAGCAGACTCAGAACCCTCAGCGCCAGCACCCGCAGCAGCTCCAGAACCTCCAGCTCCAGCACCACCAGCGCCAGCACCTCCAGCAGCTCCAGAACCTCCAGCTCCAGCACCCTCAGCAGCTCCAGAACCTCCAGCAGAAACAACTC